CTTTGCAACTTTCCTATTTATACTAAGGATCAGAAATCAATTGGACATCAGTATTCCTGATTGTACTTAGATGTCAGGCTTTATGAGTCTTAATGTAACTGTTAAGATCCATGGAGACGTATTGTCAACTTTAGTATTTTCTGTTATTCCACTTAGCAATGATTAAGATCCATTCCATGAGATACAGATGATAATTTACCATCTTTTATCACAGCATGAAATTGCTATTTAGGGCTCTTTTGTCCAGTTCATCTTTATTTCATACAAGATAACTGAGAAGACCTCCTAATTTGCTTTTAACATCAAAATGATTGTCAGCCTTAAAAAAAAAAAATAGAAGGGAGAAAATTGAAGTGAGAAATCACCTCATAACCTTTTTCTGTGAATGCCACACTGCCGTGAAAAGGACTGAACTTTCTTAATGCTTCATTTTTAACAGAAAGCATGACAAAAATTTCCTATCAGTATTTAAACTGCTAAGATTTGTCAAACACAAATGGGAAAATAGTGTTTGAATAGCAGTTTCATTTTGTCCTTAATGATTATGGGAGGGGTTTTTTTTGCAAAGAGGACCTCAGCAATAATAGATCATCTCTGCACTGAGTGACAGGAATTCTTTACTGTGCCTTCTGATTTCAGGTAGAGCACAAATGTGTGCCCATATCTGTTCAGAGCTGGCAAAGGCCAAATTCTATCCATGGTGTAAATAGTGTGAATGCCACCAGCCTCTAGACTGGTGTGTGGCTCACACCTCCCACCCTACTCTGCCCTGCCCTGTGACTTCCTATCTCCTGGCTCCGGGGGATGGGCAGCACTATCCGTGCTCTCTCCTCAGTGCCCTGTGCAGTGGTGAAGGCAGCTGCCCTGCCTGGTGACCCGTGGTGGGTCCACACTCTTTGCTGAGCCCAACAAGTGCTACTTTCTCACCAGAGGCTCCTCAGCCTCCTAATCTGTGACTCTGGGCATGAGGACTGGAGGTATATGAGAGTGCTGCAGTCTTGCATTTGGTGCCCTGTGTTAGAAAATATTACCTTTCTTGACTTTTCAGTGGGAAGGTACAGCAGATCAGTGGGTTAAAGTAAGATGTCCAAATTGCAGCTGAGAGACAGAAAGACAGGGAGTTGATGGGTAACCTTTCCATGACAACAACATCAAGAAACAGCTGCTATTGGAATGAAATATTGGTTGTTCTAGCCAAGAGCCAAATACCCACCCAGTCTCTTGCTCACTCCTCTGTCCTGTGGGACTGGGAGGAAATAGAAGGAAGGCAAGACTAATGGATTGAGATAATGATAGTCCATGGTTACTTGGCAAGATAAACACCATAAACCCAACTGTCTCCCCCTTCTACTTCTTTCCCTGAACTTTTATTGCTGGGCACAGTGTCCTATGGTAAGAAATACTCTCTGCATCAGCTGAAGACAGCTGTCCTGGCTATGTCCCCTTCCAGCCTCTTGCCCACCTCTGGCTTACAAACTTTGGATTTATCCAAAGCCACAAATGCAAAACACGACAAAGGAAGTTGACTCCTTGCATCACATGCCTGGATAAATACACCTGTTCTGAGGTGATGGTTTGTGTTTGACTTGGTGTTTTCCAGACTGTCTTTTCCACAGGTGAACTCATGTTCTTAATTTACCATATGTGAACCCATTGTGTCTTCAGACAAGTCAGGGGAATTATCTGGATAGTTCGTGTGCAGTAAAACTTAGGTCCTCATATTAATACTATGCTACAATGACAAGTATATTTATTGTTCTACTTGGAGATATTCTGTGGATTACAACTTCCTGTATGTGGAAGATTTGAATGCATTGTCTTATTTGTTAAACACCTTTTCCTAGAGTGAATCAAACAATTTTTCATAGAACAATCTTCTCTGAGTGTTTCAACAAAATTGGAATATGTTAGAGTACTGGCAGATTTCAAATACATTATAACTGAAGAACTACTAAATAATTTATTTCATCTCTTCTATCTTCTGAAACATTTATTTAGATCTGTTATGTGAGTTTTAAAATTATTATTATGTTCAATTATTATATTACATCAGCTGGTATCTAGTCTGATAATTTGCTACTGCCTAGGCTGGTTTTTTCAAGACTATCTTGATGTCTACTAATAAAATATTTTCAAAACTTACTTTAAAAAAATGCACAGAGATTTTAATTGTCATTACAATTCAGAGCAAAGCATTTCTAAATGCGTTGGACTGCCTGTTTTTCTGACTAGCAATTTATTACTGCAGAACTTTCACAGTGGGTCAATAACATAATTTTCGACATTTTTTTTCTTTCTTATACATTGGAGTTTGCCCTGGGTGCTACAGCATAAGTCAATTACACTGCCCAAATGTAACTCTCTTTGGTTTCCCTGGGAAATTGAAATGAGAGAAAAAAATGTCAGAGTTCAGAAAAAGAAAACCGATCTAGCACAATTCTGTTTCCTCTGTACAGATTTTGCATTATCTTAACAGCAGTCATCACAGAATCACATTGTGCTTTTTACCAGCTTTGCCAGAAAACTGTACAAGCACAGAAAAATCCACTTGTAGTCCAGGTGACATTAAATTGAAAAGAAGGTAAAACAAATCAGTTTTTGTCTCTTATGGGTGTGTATCATAATAAATGCAACAAGACTTTACAAGATTTGGTTTTGTTGATGTTGTTAGTAAATTGTTTGCAGAGATCTAAGAGACCTTCTGACAAATTTTATATTAAAACTATATTGGTACTCATCTGAGTGTTTGATGTGGAAAACCTGTCTGTGCAATCTTTCAAAAGTCCTTGCTACCTCTGGGAACAATGGTGAAGAACAGACCACGAATCTACAACTTTAGTACAGAAAATAATGACACAAATAGCAAATGATTCATCTTGCCACGGTTGGCTGAGATTCTTGTGCTGGAAAGAATTCAAATCTTCCTGGAGAATGTACTAAGACAAGGCTGTTTCTAGCTTTGCATCTTCTGTGAATCACTTCATATCTGCAAATTTCTTTCCTAAGCTCCACAAAACCAGTGAGATATTGACAAATTGGATGGCTGACAGATTGAACAAATCCATGAAAGGGAATTCATAATTGAAAAAGAAGCCTTGAGGGAAATGGTTTGTGAACATAAGTAAAATTATATTTTGTCTTAATGCTGACTAAGATGAAATATGAAACACAAATTTGTAAAATCCCTCTGAGGGCATGGGACTCATCAAAAAAACAGACAGCATGAGGACACTTTCAGTACAGACAGCTTCAACTACCCAACAAGGCTAACAAAGGTCTGGAAGTGCCCTTTCCTTCCCCTAGCATTGCATGCACTCAGAAACCATGATTTTGAAAATTATTTCTCCTTTCAGTAGCCACTCTTCTCATATGGTGTGGAGTTTTAATCCGCTGCTTTGGACATGTAGCAATAAGGCTGCAGTGTGCTTTATAAAGCTGGTCTAGACCTGGGTTAAAGAATGCAAGAGTAGTTTCTCAGCAAGGTAGAATGGGATGAAATTCCTACAGGCATTTCTTACAATTCTACGTTGAGTATAAGAAAACTGAACTGAACACTGAGCTGGGTACAGACCCTCTCCCCCCACCCTGAATGTGGTTAAAGCAACAGTTCTTGGCTCCTGTAGCTTAGTTTCTTATGAAAAGTATATTTAAACATTCTTCCTTGCGGTTCTGCTTGGAAAGAGCTCCTCTAAATAAACCACAGAACTTTGTTTAAATCTGATGTGTGCCACAGTCAAGAAATCTGACTGACAAGGCAGGTGGTATGCTGGGTCTAGTGTGCATCTTTCACATCCCAAAGTCAATCACATTCTTATTTTCCTTCATACTGAATATGACTGCTGTGATCTAGGGGACTTATAAACCATGTTTCCTGTTTATAAAACACTTCGTCTGTGCAGGACTTAAAATATGGAAGACTTGTCCATCATTTCAGATCCAAAGCAGAATAAGAAAATTATAACAAATTTAGCTGAGGAGTAGTTTAGTTTCAACCAGAGGTCTAAAAGACTTTTAGGTCAACTTCTTGACTTCTAATGTCAGGAGAGGATTACTTATTCTTTTCATATCAGAAAGGGGAAGAAGTTGCTCAGCACAGAAATCTTAGCTGCATTTAGGCTCTGTGGTTGGAAAAGATCCATCAGAAAATCCTGTCTCCATCCTGCTGTCTTGCAATATTCACAACTGTCTCTATTGAATGTACCTAATGCAATTGTTGAAAGGAAGGAGTAAGACAAGCCTGGATGAATTATACATGCCTTCCCCCTCTGAGCTTATCCCCTCATTTCTACACTCGATCCGCTGCTCTGCATGTCAGAGTGAGAATGCAGTTCATGGAAGCATCTCCACTGCTGACATCCTCATAAATACTGAGATGCCCCAGCTGAGGTGTGCTCGCAAAAGAAAGAAAGACCATCTACAACTGCTTCATGAAAGCACTAAAGATTTCCACATAGTATGTGTCAATCAGTTAAGCCTTAACAGGAGTGAGTATCAAATTTTGGCCCTGCTGATAAGTATTTCCCAAGGCTAGAGCAGAGCAGAACTAAAATTACACATGCTCTGAGTTTGATTTTTTTTTTATTGGAAAGGAAAAGGACTGAGATTTGCTTCTGTTGTCAGTCTAAAACAAGATTTATGATAGCCTTGTACAACAGGAACTTGGTGTTTCCAGAGTTAAGAAAGTAATTAATAAATAATACCACTTTTATTGATAAATAACACCCCCCCTCCATCTAAAGAAAACACAAAATCAGAGGCCTGCATTTTGTCCTGTAAACAAAGCAACATAGGGACATATTTATGAATAAATCTTTAACTCTGTTGCCAATATTTTTAGTGTGAACTTACTTGAGGTGTAAATATTTAATGCTTCTTTTCACTGCATTACTATTTATTTTTCTGTGTGTGAGTAGTCATCCTTCAATATTGTGAACCAGGTAAATAATGTATTACTTAGTCATGAAAAATGCCAGAGGAAAATAAATGAGAGGATATCTTACCTTTGGTCATCACAATGCCTGCAAGAGTTTTGTGGCGTGCATGCATGGAAGTGAAATTGTCTGTCAGTTCCTGGAACTTCTGTGCAACCATTTGGTATACGGAGTCAGCAAAATCCTGAAAGACACAGTCAGAAAGAACTTTTTCACTTCTTTGATTGAGGAAACTGGGCGTTTCTGCAAATTATCCACCTGCTGCCAGCAGCTGAGAGGTCCCTTTTAGAATTAGCACCACCTACCTGAGCAAAGCTAAAGTGAGTCTCTCTTCTTCGGCTACCTACAGCACCCTCAGAAATGGCCAAATTAACTGCACTACAGCTAAGAGACCCACGTTGACTAGGATTGGGGGTAAAGGGAGAAGACTTCAAGGCTGACCTTTTTTTCAGTCTCTTAAGACACTGGTCTAGATCACCTCACAGGAACTTAAAGCACTTTATTATAGTGAGCTGAAGAGGCGGATGTGTGTCCTACCAAACCGCTTATTTCTGTGAGCCCACTGAAAATTTCCATTAGCCCACTGACACCTGAGAGCTGAGCTGAGGCCTGGTTTATAGGTAAAGACCACCTATTTCTGCAATCAAGGTGACTTTTTAATGACTCACAGCTACTATTAAGGTAAAGTGGTCAGCTCAGGAATTTGTCAGAGGAGTACCGTGGTCTGTCCTGCTTCTACCTTGAGAGAGACTGGGAAGAAAGAAAGGGTAACCTGTGCCTGCACATCCTACCAAAGATGTTGCTTGCAGTTCACAGTTATGCAGTAGTGCTGAGGGACTGGTCTGCCATGTCTCCTCCAGAGCACAGCAGCTTTGTTAGAAAGGCAGATTTTCCCACGGACTGGGCACTAGAGACTGTGTGGTCTGAACCCTCAGATATGAGTGAGTCCAATCACCAGGGAGAGTCTTGGGAAGCTGGTTACTAAAGCAAAGTAGGTTGAAAAGGTCTAAAAAGTGAATTCTGCGGAATGTGCATGGATGAACAGGAACCTAAACCAGCTCTGGTGCTCCTGAGAACACTATGACTTGGAATGGTTCCCTGCTGCAATGTTTCATATCTTTTCATTTACTTAATCTCTGCACTTTGTTTGGCACTGTGCCTCTCAGGCATACATTAGAGATAAGTCAGTGGAACGCTCTTAGTGAGCATGAGTTGTTCTTAAAGTGCTTTGCAAGTCTGAACATAAAAAAATAGCATCCCAAGGATTTTTTTTAAGCCATATGATTTCTTGTGGGGAACCAATCTGTAACTAAAAATCATTCTGGGAGCAGTTCCTGGGAGCTGGAGCTTACTCTGGAATGCTTACAGAGATCTCCTGGCATCCTGAAGTCTGGTTACCCACAGGTGATCGAGCCTTTCCTAGGAAAAGTGGCTTGACCAAGCAAAACAATTCCTGTTTTTCTTCTGGTGTTGGGATATACTACCTGAGAGGAGGCTGTGGTAAAACAGACCTCCTTGACTTCAGCTGGTTTCTTTAAGTGGGTTCATGGCACACACAGAGGAGATGTTGAGTCTGATACACAACTTCCCTAACCCTGAAATATCCACAGAAATGTGGAAATAAGGAAATGTGCTTAAGAAGATCATATCCATTCTTTTACTCTCCAGACTGCTAATGGCGACGAAAGCATGTTGGGGAAAACACAGTATTTTAAACTGAGAGAACACACAGCTATTTTTCAGAGGAAAGCAGGTTGTAATTCACAAATATCAGCAACGTTACTGTCATTAAGTGCATCTGCAGGCTGTACACCATATGTTTCTACAGTTTGTTGTGGAAATTCAGTTTAATTTTAAACATTATTATGGCAAACGTAAAAAAATCTAATTAAATAAAACATAACAACAATTAGGCAACCCCCTTTTCATAAAACCTGGAATATTTTTTCTGTGTACAATCCTTGTAAGTGATTGCAATTTGCTCAAATACATAGATGATAGGATTTCTTTGACACAATAATTTGTCTTAGTTTTGCTAAATGTAGCTTTCCAAAATATTGTTCTGGGAACAAACCATTTGCCCAAAAACCAATTTAATTTAACATGGAATAAAATATGCTGGCTTTTTTCAAAAGAAGAAGAGAGACACATAAACACTTTCTGGGAGATTCATGCAAAATTCTACACTAGTATTAGATGAAAACTAAGCAAAATTATCAAGAACAGCTTGACAGTTCCTAAATGGAATTTCACTTTCACTGCATTTATACCTCTTCTAATCTAATTGTCCACAATCACTATGTGAGCAAGGTATTGTTAATACAGTGCTTCTGAAGGATGAATTTTGGGTCAATTCTCATTTGTCAAGCATCAAGGCACCCTTGTGATATAAATGCAATTATGGTTCCTTTACAGATGAATGAGTGAAGGCACTAAAAGGGTGAGGGACTGGTCCAGGGGAATAGCACGGAGCTGGGCACAGCCAGGTGTTCTGATTTCCTGATGCTCTGGTTAAGTGCTCAGCGCTGGAACACTGCCTGTCTTTCATAATATGAAAGTTTGTTTCTCAACTTGTTTTCCCTACTGAACAGTGACTTCATCCATAACTGAAAACTAAAGTGTGTTTGCAGAACTGATATAACTGGGCCCCATATGGTGGACTGAAAATCTGATCAGCTTTATTTAGACTAGAAAGAAAGATGAGGGGAAAAAATGAGTATCTCAATAAAAATATCTGCACCATCATTTAAAAAAAGAATCAAATCATAAATTTCATCTCCTGCAGTATTGCAGTCCAATCCATGCCTGCATTTCTAGAGTACCCTCCAAATCTGCATCCCAGGGCATTTTGCGCTCATTAAGAGTTAATTAGCTTAGAGGCACATACAATTCCTAAAAGAATCATTTTAAAAATGCTAAACAGAACAAATAGCTTTTAACTTTGGATTTAGAAATCCCCACAGTCATGGCTTTCTTTACTTCATTTGGCAGTAGGTTCCAAAGCCAGAGAGCAAAGAAACTCACTAAAGGCAAAATAACGACATGACTTCAGATAGCATTTAAGGACGATAAGAAATTCGGCATTTGCTGATCTCTAGGAGTGACCTGGGACATTAAAGAACAGCAAATCCATTAAATATGAAGCCTCTTAGCTAAAATAAGTCAGGCGAACATTTTTTTGTCTTGAATCCATTGCCTAAAAGGAAGCCAGTGAAACTAATAGAAGCAAAGGAGTGACATACATGAATATATGTAGGATGCTGGAAAAACCACCAGAAACAGTGCCTAATCTAAGAGGTCATTTCCAGGCTATCTTATTGCCCTAAATTTCCAAATGGATATTCCAAAGTAAAGTGGAAAGGGGGAAAAGGAGCAGTTTATTTTGCAGAGAGAGAAAAATAAGAAGACAAGAGATCCATGGCTCAGCCCTGAAGAGATTTGATGCCCTGAAGATTGATCCTTGTAGTGCAGCATTAATTTTGGGGCTTTGAACACTCTGGCCCTGAAAGTTGCCCTGGTGACAGAGCTGGGTATGGTGTTAGGTTCCTTGCCTATACTTATACACACAGCACCCTGCTTTCCCCTCTAGTGCACACCAGAGCAGCTATTTGGCTCGACCTTGTTCTGTGCAATGAAATCAGTGACAGCATTTCTGCCTATTTAGAGCCTTTAGACTGGTTCTCCATGCTTCTGTGAAACACAGACTGGTTACAAATATATCTAATGCACACAGGAGAGATATGGTGGAGATAAGAGTCAGTACATTTACCCCTACTCAGTTTAGAACGACAGATTCAATTCCAGAGATTTTCTAGCTTTACCTTTAAACAATAATCCCAGACTACTAAAAGATACATATCCAGATGGTCATTCCTGATGGGATATAAACCATAAAAATCCAACTATTTACAGCTATTGTGAGCCTCACTGAATTTTCAGGATACAGGCTAGACTATGTTATCTGCTGTCAGAAATAACTTACAAACCACGTGCAAAAGGAATGGTTCTTTTGTTCTATCAAAACAATCTCAGAGAAAAGTTGTGTTTGGTGAAACCACAGTTTTTACTGCCAGATATGAGTGAAAATAAAAGTCTCCATCTGGAGCAAGCACAAGAGCCAAATACATCTTGGCAGCTTCTGAACAGCTATTAGGTTGGTAGAAGACAAAGGGAAAATTTCTGAAGATGAGGGAAAAAGAAGAGTAGGAACTTTCCTTGTGAAAGAGTAGTTCAGTGCATGCAATTGCTCTGGTCACATAAGGGCAGAGAAATCACAGCTCAGGGCAGGGGACAGGGGTGAAAAAAATTAAAAGATACAGTTAGAACTCTAAAAATTTTTGCCGGAATACGTGGCAGAATAGATACTCAAAAGCTGCTTGAGTGCTGGAATTAGGAGGGCTTCTGCTTAGGGCATTAATCCCCTTGGAAAACTGTGGTCTGATACAAATTGCCACTGTAGCCAGTGGAAGTATTTCTGACTCTAAGATGTTCCAGATAAGGCCCAAGTGGCAAGGATGGAGCTCAAGCATGCCCATGCCCTGGCCAGGCACGGTGAGCTCAGCCATACTGGTTTTGAGGGGGTATTGGGAGTAAAAAAAAACACAACTCCGGGGAAGAACTGACCTTCCAGGGGCTGAGTTATTTTCAAATCCCATGCTTTACTTTGCCTGCTATCAAAATCTTACCTTTCACAGGTCCTCACATAGATTTTTCTGTACAAACAATATTTGTCTCAGAGAGAATTTCTTTGAGATCAAAACTTTGCTCAGTCTTGTGAATACAGAGAGTGATATGAGTAAGGCAAAGAAGATTGCTGCACCTCCCTACCCTTGGTTGGACTCAAACCTTACACATTGCCTAAATGCTTACTGTCACTGGTGGAAGCAAGTTTCTTGTTCAGGCAGCTGGCAGAAGAAAGAAAATGTAATGCTATACTGTTCACTGTGAAAAAAGACTGAAAGATTCTGCAGTATTTAATGAACTATATTTTAACATATACAGGGAGGCTGGAAAAATGAAAAATCGGTGTCATTACTATTAAAACTGCACTGTACTGTCTGAAGTATTCATCTGTCCTTGATTACCATATCAAATTACTTGTGTTATTCACAAAGGAAAATCAAACTTTAGATCATACCATTACAGAACCAGAAACTTTTTAGCGATTTCTTGGCACTAATATTT